AGGTCACCCGTTGATCGTTTCGGACGAAACCCATACTGCCGATCATTAATTATGGAGTGATCTTCTAGGTATTGGGTCAGTTGTTTATTAAGGATCCGCTCTAAAACCTTGCATATTATGGAAGTAATGGCTATGGGACGGTAATTATGCGGGTCTGATCGGTCGCCTTTTTTGGGAACTGGTTGCACATTAGCCTCTCTCCAAGAGTCCGGCACACGACCTGAAGAGAGCGACAGACGATACAGTCGCGTTAGCACGGGAGTCAACTCAGCTGCGCAATTCCTAAGTACAATCGCTGGGATACCATCAGGACCACTAGCTTTCCGGACGTCGAGAGACTGCAGCTGCGTACGCACATCGCATTGTCTGATACGAATATCAGACATCGTGTAGCCACAGTGAGGTAGAGTTGGTGGCTGTGCGTTACAGTCGTCGAGACAGGAGTTAGCCGCAAACAGATTTGCCAAGAGGTCGGCTTTATCTTGCGGCTTGTGGGCTAGATTGCCGTCAGAATATCTCAGCGGTGGCAGCGAGGGCTGGCAGAAGTTCGACGCAACGGCTCTGGCCAGACGCCAGTAGCTACGACTACCTGTGGGATGCGTCAAGAGTTCTTGGCCAACTCGTGCGACGCGCTGAGCATCCGCTCTGATGTACGCTCTTTTGCAAGACCTGGTGGCATTATTGTAGGCTGTTTTAAGTGAGTTCGTATTGGGATCGTCTGAAGCTAGACCCCTGATCCAAGCGCGGTATGCAGTCTGTTTGTTCTTAACAGCCACAGCACACTCGCGGTTGAACCAGCGGTTGCGCCTCCCTTTACTGACGAGATCCGAATGCGGGATGTAGTATTCCATCCCGATTAAGATCTCATCAGCAACGGCAGTCGCGCTAGCTGTTGGATCCACCTCACTAAAACAGCGCTGCCGCCAGGGAACGGATGCAAAATAGTCCCGCATACCGTCCCAATCTGCCGACGCATAATGCCAAATGCGGCGTTTAGCCACAGTAGGTGATGGTGGCAGTAACGTTGCCACTTTAGTGGATATCAAGCAGTGATCCGAAGTGCCCAGAGGGGCTTGGACCACCACCCGATATCCAGCCGGGCGAGACGTCAGCAGAAGGTCCAACAAAGAGGGCGCGTCACCAACCCTATCTGGAATCCGGGTGGGCTGATTCACCAGTTGGGTTAAATCGTGTGTGAGAGCGAATGTGTGGGCAGTTCTTCCAGCATGGTCAGTTTTAGAGGAACTTAACCACGACTCGTGGTGAGCATTGAAGTCCCCTAAAAACACCAATTCCGCTGTAGGAAACTGCGCCTGCGCGTCATCTGCCGCCCGAGTAAGGTGGTCCATGAGACGAGTTGTCTCCATGTCGCCGTGGTGGGATCTGTAGAGGCACATGTAGACACGGCAATGACTGCCCAGGTCAACATGTACCCCAAGGATGGAGAAGGAGGGGTCCTCCAAATGACGCAGACGGCGACAGCAAACATCTGCCCGGACAAACAAGCAGACCCCAGCTTTCGCTTTGAAGGACTCTTCAAGCATATAGCCAGGGTAATTCAAGTAGCTGCTGTCAGCCGGGCAGAGTATTTGCGTCTCCGTAAGGAACAGCATTTCTGGTCGAGCCGTCTCAAGATGTTGATGGACGGCGTGGATGTTACTGTGGAGTCCTCGAATGTTCGTGAACTCCACCTTAAAGAGCGCTTTAGTGGTGGGGGTGTGCACCGCTGTACGACCGAAATTTGTACTTTGCGCTAACATGTTGGAGGGAAAAAGAGGCGTGAAGCGAGAAAACAGTGCCGCGACACAAGCGGTCAAATCGCGGGGCCTGCTTCCCCAGAGACTTGCCTACAGACAAGTTGCGCTGATCCGCCGGACGGAAGGGCCCCCGAACCCCCCCGGGAATGGCCGCCGGGACCCCACCTCCCGGTCACCAACCGGCACGACGAACCACACCGAGATTATGCGCGGCATGGTGAGGCAGCCTCACGAGCTGGTTAAGCACGCTTGGGCCCCTGTACTGTACCGCGGGCGGCCAGCGGAACAACCGTTTCTACGGGTCTCCCTGGCCGGCGGGTCAATGCAGTTGTCCTGGCACTGGTTCGGCGGAAGCCTCCACAGACCACAAATGTCGCGGCAGCGTTCCCTCGGGCTCTGGTTGTACGCTGACTGATCCCGGAACGCATCCGACTAGCGAATACTTGGCGGGTTTTCCATCATGCGCACGGTGGTCACTAACCAGGCGGGTTTTCAAGCCCTACCACCAGTGGAGCAGCTGGTTGCTCAATATCCCTTAGTCGCCTTTTACGACATCCACGGGAAGAGAGGGGCGGTGAATTGTATTCTAATCCGTCACCGCACGGATAACAAATAACGTTTGTTCGAATTTGCATTACACCGAAAACCGAATTATAACGAAACCGTTGTTCTTTCAGGATATGTTGGATGTTTATCACAAAAACACGATTAGGTTAAATTAGGTTTTAAAACATTTTCCTCTCAAAATTACTTTCGAGGTTATGAAAATTCGAACAAACGTTATTTCAGGAAAATGTGTAATTTACCAGAAATAACGTAACCATTCCTTTTTCTTGACTCCTTCAAACGGCGTGCTAAGAAATACTTCTTTAACGTCTTTTCTCATAATTAATATAAACTATCAATTAATATGCTTAAAGGAAGTTTTTGACAAACCGTGGCTACCTGATTAAAAGAAAAAAAAACTAAATAAACTCACATTTTCTAGTAGTACATTTTAACAAATACACAGACGCCTCTGCAATATTCTTTGTCTTGGTGATTTCCATCAGGAACTCCAGGAACTCCAAGGCGTCTTTTGTTTTCGTGATTTCGTTGATTCTCTTCATTACACTCACGATGTCTGGGAAAAGATAAGTTAACAATATCATTACCGTCGTTACAGTACATATACTTATTTTTATATTCACAGAGAACAAAAATCTGTCATAAAGATTGTATCAATTTCTCAAAAATGCACTATAAAGAACTTCATCACCGTGCTACAACATAAAAAGCTGAATACAATGAGAATAAATCTCTGTATATACTTACCATTGATTTCAAAAACCTTCTTGAACACCTGCTGCACTTGCTGGATGTCCTGCACACCAGTCACCTTGTACAGGCTATCAACGACATCGGAAAGACCTGTCGACATCAGTAATAAATATAAAATATTAATGCAAAAAAAATTACATTACAAATTTTTCAGATTTCCACCATGGAGACAGCGCCGTCTGTTATTTTTTGCATCTTGTACAGTTTAGATAAGAAGTACATGACTTGAGCGTTGGTAAGGTCGGTAATTCGAATACCTGTGACGGTAATTACCAATTACTTTAATTTGTATGTTGTTTTGTACCTTTCACAAATGGTGCAAATAAACTTCGTCATGTATATCGAAGAAAGTTGAAAATCCTTGGACGTGACAAGTTCCTAGCCTAGATCAGGCCAACAATATGGGCTATGGTCCCTTTCCGTTCAGGAGACCCACCTTGCAATGAGACGTATAAGCATGTTTGCAAACCGGTGAGATAGCCCAATTTCAGCTCGGTGGACGTCATTGCACGTTATCCAATAATTAACTGCTCGATTCTTACCCCGTGAATTGCCTGTTGTAAATTTTTCTATTTTTCTTTCGCATTTTTATATTGTACTAACACTTATTTCTTTTAATGTTTCTTTTTACTATTATTATTTATTATATTACATTTGTTACTATTGCCGTATAACCGTAAGGATCGGACAATGATAATAGCATGATTTGAATGAACGTCGTCTTCAAAGTCATTTTTTCTTGTCGTTAAATTCGTTTAGATTGGTAATTTTAACTAACGGTAACACCGGTTATTGGAAATAATAAAAAGACTGTCTTACGTAGTTTATTCGCCTCGTGTGTAAGTTCTTCCAAAGCATATTTGAATTCTGAAAATATAAAATTATGACGATTAAGTTAATCACATAAAAATACTAATATAAATTGAAAATAAATTTTCAATTGTTAACAAGAAAAAATCATTCTTTCATTCATTCCTTAAATCGTCTTCACGCGTCTACTAGATGCATAAATAATTAACAATTTAAAAAATACGAAACTTTACATAACTTCAATCTTCTCACGTGAAAATCCTAAAAATGTGTCTGAGATTTGCTTTTCAAGATTGTCGGTCTTTTGTAGAAAGGGCGAAAGAGCCTTTTCGAAAAAAAAATTGAGACGAGCACGTTTTAGTTTTCCACGATTGTTTTAAAATATTTACGTCTGGTTTTATATTCAATTTTAAAACTTAAACTTAGTTAAAACCTAAATTGAATTTTAAAATACTCGTAGGTCGTAAATATTATAAAACATTCATTAAAACCTAAAACATGCTCTCTTCAAGGATGTTTCAAATTGGTGCTTTCGCCGTTTCTGCAAAACACCGACGGCATATCAACTAATATTACATTTATTAAAGTTTAAGTTTAAAAACGTTTCTTACATATCTTGTATGACGTTGTTATTGTAACGTCACTAACAGTACTCCTGATTTCAATGCCTCTAATAGATTTTTATTATTTTCGTCAATTTCAATACTAAATTATTGTCACTAATTTACAGGTTCCTTGTCATATCATGACTTCTTATATTTTTCTATATTTCCGGTAATAACTCAAAGAGATTCAAATAAGGGTACACGTCGACATCGATAGAGGCTAGTGGTTAATGTGATAAGAAAGGTTATGTGGAATGCATATATACCGCTAGATGGCGCTGGTGGTATTCTGTCTCACGCTATCAAAGTGCTCACACCATTAATATAAGGGGGTGCATATTTTTGCAGGATATATCCGGTGGCGCAGTCGAGGCCATCAGCGACCAACTGCAAGGTGTCAGTATAAAAAACGCATGATGAGGTTTTGTAGCATCCGGAGCCAAGGTCCATGTCCACCTGGGCCCTCAGACGCGCCACTAAGTTTAATTAAATTAAGTGTAATTAAGTTTTATTCGAGTTAAGAGCCCTCAGCTCGCCCTTTTGTACAATGGCGCAGTCAAGACTGCAAAATGTCCTCCATAAAAAAAAAGTATGATGAACACATTAAACTCGTCTTTTTTAACTAAAGGGTGCGTTCCCACTATGTCGTAGCGTTTTATTTGTCGTTGGACGACTGTCGTGTCCAGATGTTCCCATTAGATCGCGACGACAATTTATCGGTTCACGTTAGGCGGCTACGATTACCTGTTACCACATTTTTATAGTGACGTTTTATTTATCGTCTGACGACTGTCGTTCTGGCTCTTCCCATTATCACGACAGTATGTCGTCGTACCGTCAAAAAAGTCGTGAAGGGCAAGTAATCGTGTTTTACTATGTGTGAACAATTACATTTAAATATACAAGCCACGGCACTTTAACCTGCACGACTACCTGTCGTTATAATGGGAACGCGCCCCAACCCAAGAGTTTGATTGCCTGCTTGCAACCCAGAAGGTGCCACTTGTTATTGCGGTGTACCGTATTTGGGTGAAATCCCTTTTTACGGAAATGGATGATGATGGATAGACCTTTTTTACTTACAAAATAAAGGTAAAGTCATAAATTGTCACACAATCATTTCTAGCAATTCTGTTTTTTTGTGCCTATTTAAAAGCTCACATTAATGGCGGTGACGAAGTTTACAAATTCAGCCGACGATGCCTGCTTAAAGCTATAGACTGCGGGCAATGAACCCGAGCGTATCGGGAAAATGAACAAAAGTCATTACCGTGGTAGGAAACCTATAATTAGTGACAAATCATTTATATGTTATTTGGTTGCACCCCCTTTGCTTCTTTTAAATATTCATTCTAAGGTATCTATTTTGTACGCATTAGCTTATTCTATTATAGTTACCTACATTACTTTTCTCTGTTGTCATTCTAATTTTAATGTACAATAATAGCACATTTCTCAAACACGCTCGGAATCAATGTAAGTAAATAATAAAAGACTAAAGAGAGGAAGATGTTTAATAGAAAAAGTAAAAAAAAAAATTAATTCACATTTAAATTTATATAATACATTTGCTAAAAAAAATGTTATTGTTTTTCCAGGTACGTTAATAGTAGTCTCCTGAACGTCTGACGATGTATTGGAATGTGTATCTATTACTGTATTTTCGTTGTAGCTCTCACTAGCACTCATTTCCGCGACCAAAATACAAAAAGGACGAAAAAACAAAAGAATATCAAACACTTTAGTTTAAGTGTTACCGCCATTTTCTTTTTTTTAAGTAAGCAGTAGAGGAAGGTGTTTTTAATTCTCGCAATTACTAACACTAGGCAGTTTGGCTGAATGAGTTTTTTTTGCCTGTTTACGTACCTAGTTCATTATTTTTATTTTATTTATTAAGGCTTTGGCAAAGCCATCAGCCTAAACATGAAGTTTAATTGTTTCTGTAAATATGGCCGCCACAAAGAGGATAGGCAATTTGAGACGGCGTGCTTGGATTGACTCGGGATTCCTTAAAACGGGCTGATACGGGTATTTTAGTTCGAGACTCGTATAATTTCGCGTTTTAATCTTCGATTAAGGTACAATAGCACTATCCTCTTCCACTTTAAACTAGATTACACAAAATAATTGAAAGTCAAAATAAAAACGACACTTTTCCCTCCAAAATGCCCAGAGCGAATCGTTCATTATTAGATAGATTTAATAGTTAGAGAAGTGGATAGTAAGGATTTTCATACTTACAACTTTTGCAGGCCTTGGCCGGGAAGAAATAGCACAGTCCATAAATGACAAACTTTCCGTGTCCGTTTTTTGAAAGTAACTCAAACATTTTCGAGCATGTTTGAGAAAAGAATATTTATTCTTTTATTTTAATTAACACAGTGATGTGTATTGAACTATTGACTAACATAATATTATCGAGTATTTAATCAGAAATAGAGACGAAATGTCATTTAATTTGTTTGAAAACTATCCTGCCAAATTATTACTGTGACAACTGCGCTGCGATTGGCCAGCTTGAGTTCGAAACAATTGACGGGTGACGTAAAAATTACATATTTAATTACCGATGGAAATGTGATTCCGTTTGTTTTGTAATTAGATATTTTGCTGTTTTCCCTGTGTTTTTTGATGCCAGAGATGGATGGCCCTTATTTCGCCTCTACTTCCGGTTATACACTGGATGTATAATATTAACAAGACTTACGGCTCTGTCTAGTTACGGATTTTGTGATTTCAATACTCTCTGCGAAGGAGCTGCGGTTAATAATTCTGTTGTACTCAATGATTGCGTGACCAATGTCTAAATGAAAAAGAAATACAGTATATTATTAAAAAAAAAACAAAACATATATTTTTAGTAATAAATACCGTGGCAAGTTACTACCTTAAAGTTTTGATAAACATACCTGCAGTTCTTGTGGCAGACATGAGCATGTTCATAGCTCCTTGAAGATCTGGAAAATAAAAAGGTCATTACCATACCACATAAATGGAAGTAAATTAATTTGCTACTTCGCGAACCCAGTGAAGGTTAAACCGTGCAGAATAGCTGCGCTTGTGTTGAATATTTTTTCATGTAGTTAATTATAAATTAATTTATATTAAAAATATTCAACACAATAATAATAATAATAATAACGCACACACTCAACATAGCCCCGCACTAGGGAAACCCTGTGTCGCGGGTGCCATGGACACACACATAGACAACCACAAATTACACCCAAACTCACGAGAAAAATAAATGTAGGCCATACAAATCTTTCTCCCGGCCCGGGAATCGAACCTGGGACCTCTGCGTGGGAGTCCGGCATGGTAACCGTTCGGCCACAGAGGCAGTTAAAGCACAAGCGCAGCTATTTAGCACAATTTAGCTTTCACTGGGTTCGCGGAGTTGCAAATTAATTTGCTTCCATTTTTATTAACATGGACTTCCACAAAGTAACGCCTGAATCTATTAATTACGTTACCATCCCATCTCGCATTAGACATTTTTGACATATTACTGTTGAAAAGAATAAAACCACAAAATTGTTTTAATCTATTGTCCGACACGATGCGGTGCTTTATTTCAAATCTGTGTAGAAAATGAAAGGTTCGCCCCCGGATTACTTTTCCGCTGTACCGCCTTTGTATGGCCTGAGCTTAAATGGGAGAGTTTTTTATATTATGTAGGCAGCAAACAAGCATACGGCCCGCCGATGGAGAGCGGTCACCGTCGCCTATGAACGCCTGTCACCCCTTTTGAAGGATTCCATACTGTATTCCTGCGGGAAAACCCCGACAGGCAGTTTATTTCATAACCTAATTGTACGTATGAGGAAGCTCCCCTGAAATCGTGCAAGTATTCCAACTATTTACTATATAATTTGCTATAAGGATAAAAGAAAAAGCATCGTGATGAAGCCTACATGTTACACAATAAATTGTTTAGTCAAAAGTTTTTTTTCACCATAAATATAAGCCTCGTAGACGGCAAATTTTGAGTATTAACAGGAGTCTTATTATAGAAGCTTACCGACTTCGTGGCTTAACGCCCGGTATACACGTGGAAACTCCCTGGGACCGTGTCCGCTGGTCAACTTGAACACCATCTTCTCAACTCCGTCAAGACCATGGCCTGGAAATCACCAAATTATAATATCATATAACTACGTATAAAACGCCACATCTGCAAAATGATAACATTTCAGCAGAGGTTTATGGATTCTTCTAATGAAATTATTGGATAACTTTTAATGACTAAGAGTCTATACAGCCTCAAACAGGTTTGGTTGGTTACCTATTAGTAGTCTGAAATGACATTTTCCAGAAATAATGTTCGCTCGAATTTTCATAACCTCGGAAGTAATTTTGAGAGGAAAATGTTTTTTTCTTTTAAACCTAACTTATCCTAACGCGATAAACATCCAACATATCCTGAAAGAACAACGGTTACGTTATAATTCGGTTTTCGGTGTAATGAAAATTCGACCAAACGTTATTTCGGAAAAAAATCGACTTTGTGAAAGGTTACCGTTTGGTTGATACCATATAACAATGAAAGAGTTGAATCAATCACTTTAGAAAAAATATATATTAAAATTGAGTATATATACTGATTACTGAAAAGAAAACCGCTGTATTCAATAGTATTTTACAAGTATCAATGATTTTTTTTTAATATCAATTGACATAAATATAACACTTATTAGTATACGATATACATTTTTCAAATGCCTTCAACTTCGTTTGTGAAAAAATGAATTCTGAAATAAAGCCAGTGTCCCTGCCGTCCGGCGCAAATAAAATGAACTGTATTAGTACAGGGGGGAAAATTTGAATTCTAGCTGAGGTGGTATCGATTCTTAAACAGGAGAGTTGGAAAATTTCACATTATACATGATTTGTTACGTGTAGTTCCTATTGTTTTTA